ATGTGCCCGTCAATCGGGTGGAGAGCAGGCAAGGAGGGCTTAGGGGGAACTACGTACCCAGACCCGATCCTAAAATTTAAGCGGCTGCAGTGCTGGCAGCTGTTCACGGCTTGGCAGCAGCGGCGATGCGGTACGGCTTTGAGCATGGAGGTGAGCCTGTCTCCAGGGGCGCCGGTCCCACTTGAGCGAAGCCTGCAGAGGCTGATGTCCTGATGCTCGCCACCTGCAAGTGAAACCTGAATCGGGGCGACTTTCCTGGCAACCGCTCTCATCACAATGAGGTACGTAAACAGTTTACGATTGTCCATTCGGGTGCTTGTAGGTCCACACACGCTCGCAGCAGGCCTGGTGTTTTCATGCGTTTCGGAGCTATTTTGCACGCTAGGAGCGGGGTTTTGAGGAGTTGGGGGGTGCGCGGGGGGATGATAATTTTCATGTTATTGCCTTTGGCGAGCATGCGCAAAACACCGCTATTTGCGGCACTTTTCCTTCTACACGCGGGCCGATGGTGCTTCAGCAGCAGTGGTTGCCCCGGATGGAGTCTGAGCGGAGTGATCCGGAACAAGCCATGCAGTGGTTGCCCCGGACGGAGTCTGAGCGGAGTGATCCGGAACAAGCCATCGGTGGCTGCACTGTCGAGAGGTTGCCCATCTGTTGCGGTGTCGATCGAGGTAGACATGTTCGGTTCCCAGTCCCATTTGACAACTTCAGCGGATACTGTATGTCAACTGTGGCACGCGAGGACTGTATTGATCTTACAGCCTTAGACTGAAACTCTTTCCTCGGACTCACTCGAGCATTTCGGGCCGTCAACAACACGGTGAAGCCCAGAGCTTCCGGAGGAGGAACCCCTTTGCCGGCTCCGCCTACTCATCGTACTTCGGTGTGCGTCCTGTCTGACTGAGTGAATGGTACTACTACTCCTACATTACTTCTGTACTCCTATACTCCTATACTCCTTTGCTCCTTTGCTCCTTTGCTCCTATGCTCCTTTTCTCCTTTACTCCTGCATTCCTATACTCCTTTACACTACTACTGCTGCTCCTCCTCCTCCTCCTCCTCCTCCTCCGGCTGCCGCTGCTAGTACTAGTACGAGTACTGGTACTGGTACGAGTAGTAGTAGTAGTAGTAGTAGTAGTAGTAGTAGTAGTAGTAGTAGTAGTAGTAGTAGTAGTAGTAGTAGTAGTGGTAGTAGTAGTAGTAGTAGCAGCAGTAGCAGGAGTAGTAATAGTAGTAGTAGTAGTAGTAGTTGTTGTTGTTGTACTACTACTACTACTACTACTACTACTACTACTACTACTACTACTACTACTACTACTACTACTACTACTACTACTACTACTACTACTACTACTACTAACACCGCCACCACAAAGTGGCGGCTGCATAGACCTGCCTAGCTTTCGCGGTCGCAGTGGCTCGGTTGAGGGTGAGATTTGATTTTGCAGTCTTTCTAGGACGGCGGTTCGCTGGGACACGAATCTTAAGCACAGATGAAGCAGGACTGAGAACAGCTTGTGGTCACACGGCCGGCAAAAGAGGACCCCTTGTTGCTGCTGCAAGTCCCAGGTTAGCAAAATGAAGGACCGAACCAAAAATAGTCCAAGCTACGAACAAACAGCAGAGGTACAACGATGATTTGATAATTAGAGCTGCCGTCGAGCCTAGTCTTTAGTCTTGTGTTGTTGGCTCGGCCTGGCTGCTCGCGTCTACGAGAGTCCAAAGGGTGAGACCTCGGAGGGCGTTTGTGGTCGCTGTGCCAATTGCCGGCCCGGCTTGCTTGAGGCCTTGGCAGGAACCGTCCATGACCGGAGCTGTGCCTTTGGCACAAGCAGCCACTATGTCTTTCACCTTAGCTGCACCGAGAACCTCGATGAGGAATCCCACTTCAAAGCCCTGAGCCGCGAGGCTAAGCGGCTACGCCTGAGGATTCTGGCAGCATCTTGCGTCTCCAAAGGTATGACCTGGGCTTCTTTGGCATTTGCAGCTGTGCGTCCGTGCCGGCCTTGTCATTAAGAGTCCGTCCAGGGCCTCATGCGATCCGAAGAGTCCAAGCGGTCCCGGGGCCTGGCATCCAGGCATGACATGATGGACCAAGAAAAGCGGAGGTCCAGATCCCTCACTTCAACTGGAAGCTTCCGAGCCTCCCCACGAGCTCGCAGACATAATTGCGCCTGCAGGGAACCGGCGAAGATGCTGACATATATTGAACGTGCTGTGCTCAGGGCTGAGCTGGAAAAGAAACCACCTAATCACTGCACAGACTGCCGATTTTGTGCACGCAGCCTGCTGTCCTCTGACATTCCTTTGAGCTCACGACAGAAAGCGCTGGAGAACGTTCTGCAGTTGCTGGTCTCCGGTCCTGTCTGCACACGAATCATGCCAACAGATGAAAGTATGAGCAAGTATGAAACATCAAGCCTGGACTCGGTATGGCCTGGCACGCGTCAGGAGAAGTCTCTGAAACACAGCATGTGATGCAGCTGATGCTGAGCGAAGTCGGGCCAGAAGCACGGCTCGAAAGGGACACTCACACTCGTGTCCTTGCAAAGCCGGGATGACTGCAATTGCACGAAACGGGTGGGTACTTTCGACTGAGATCCAATCCCATTCGAGCTCACTTTTGCCGGGGGCTTCCTTCACCTTAGCATGACCCCACCGAGCTGCTGGCTGCAAAGTCTCCAGCAAAAGATCGTCAGGCCGCCGCCGGGAGCCGTGGCAGTAGCTTGCGCCGGAAATACACCTTGTCAGCCTGCACAGGTCAATATAGTTCAATCATGCGGCTCTGCCTCCGCTGGACGTGTAGACTAAGCGCTCGGTGTAATAATGACTCAATGACATGGAAAGCTTCGACACGGGTGGGAAGGAAACAGTAACTTAGAACATGGAAAGGCGAAGGTTCGAGCAGTGGTCTCAGAGCCCAGCACATCAGGTGTGGAGGCACTCAAACTCACGCTGGAAGTGTTGCAGTCTCATAGGTGTGCGGGATTCTAAACTGATCGCTGCTGCCAAGCTGTGCTATGCCACCATTGACATCAACCAGCAAACGGCTCCGTTGCTTGGCCATTGCAGGTACGCACAGATCTGAATCAAGGCGAGACCCAAGCATTCAACTGTCGTTTGACACTCCAGATACCACGATGTATCGTAAATACAGGAACACTTCACGATGAGACGCTTGGAGAAAGCATCTGCAGCACTTCCTCTCCTTGAGGGATTAGTGGACGAGCATCCCCAGCAGGTCCTATGGTTCGATTTTGGTCACTGTCTGTCGACGACTTAGTTGCCCTGCAAGGAACCAGAATGCAATCGAGTGCGGAGAAGGAGCCAAGGAGACCTCAACTAAAGGAAGCCGCTGAAAGGAGCCACTTCCGTCTGGAGTCGGCGCTTGCCAATTGAGGAGATGCTGAAGCATTGCAAGAAAACGCGGTGCGGTGAAGAGTCCTCCCGCCCGTTGGCGCGATGTCGTGAGCTGGATAGCCAGCTCTGACACGGCGTCCAGCTGAACTGTGGCCAGGAGGCGATAGAGGGCATCTTCAAGCTGCACAATCGGGTGCGAAACGCAGAGACGTCCGAACAAACTCAGCAGTGCATGCAAGGTGTCGACGAAAACAGCCAACCAGTGCGTGATAAGCCACGCTACGCCTCAACCTATGTCTGGCAACTTGTGGGCGGCTTCCAGTAGAGGAAGCATCCACGCAAAAGCGAGGCTTGTCGATGTCTGAGCCATCTTCGAACAGAGCCCCCACAAAGATTAACAATCGCTGCCTTCCGAGTAATGTTGCCGCGAGCTGGCTTGTCGCAGGATCGTGGTCGTGCCATGTCGTGCCTGCAAACGGCGAGATCGTCGAGGAAGCCAGGTTGGGCTGGTTGCGATCGGATGCAACCAAGCTCTGGAACGCTTGGGGAGCGTTCTCATCCACCGACCTTCTGGCCAGCAAAGCTCGAAGGAAAACCCAACCACCAAGACTGCAACTGCTGTACAAGCTTGAAACAAGGTATCTAACCGAGCAGGGATTGGCAAAGTCTCCACAAGTGACTGCTTAGCAGAAGATTCTACCCAGATCAACCGAAGTGTCCAGGAAACCATGTGGGATGATTGCTACTAGGAGGTTGCTACTCCACGGCACTGTGAAGCCTCATTCCGGGGTACACTTGCAAAGCCTCTGGCCACACCACGAAGCAAGGAACGCTCTCGACATGAACCGTGTTCAGGGCATAGCCCCTTGAAGCCTCGTCGTTCAACACCTACGCTTCGGCCGAAACGACCATACTGACTCCAGATTAAACACGAATGTGATGTTGTGGCATAGTAAGCTGTGCTCGGTGAGTGCAAGGATCGATTCAAACCAGTGATGTTCAAGCGAAATATTAATGTTTCTCTTTTGTGCGTGTGTGTGTGTGTGCACGTTTGCTTGCTTGCACTGTCGCGCCATTCTCTGTCTGCACTTCTTGGTGTGCTCCCTGTGGTGGATCGTGCTGCTTGTACATGCACTCACACAGCTCCATAAGCGCCAAACGACTAACCATCTCACATCCCGTGCTCCCCCTGTTCCCGCCATGCTTGATTGGCTCAAACCATCTTTAGACAACAAAAACCCTATGCGCTAGATTTACGCCCGTGCTGAAAGCCAACAAGAACAGGCAAATCAGTCGACATCTTGGGGCTCGGAGCGGTGCGAGGTGTGTTTTAACGGACGGTGTGCTTTTCCAAACCGGTGTTGCCGAGCCTCGACATCGATTCGCATCCCTACTCCCGGAGGCAAAGCCCACCTTGTCCAAGCTTTGCCATCCAACAGAGCCATGCATGTGAAGCCACCCTGCCAAGCAAAGATGAAAATAGATTCACACGGAGTCTGACATGAAGCCTTCCGATACTTCTTGGAAGTCAGGAATTCCCGCTACTTGAAGCTCGCTTTGAGCCACCCACAAATCGCTCGGAAATTTATCCGCATGCATCGGCTGCCCTCGAACAAACAAAAACATTAGCCACTCGGCACCTATTCGGATCACAGGCAGCAAAGAGAGCCACTGACCCGCTGTGAAGAATGACCTGAGTCACTATGCCCCTATCACTCTCACACTCAGCCAAAATCTCAGACTCACGAAGGATCTGTAGAAGTGTGGCGCCTCGATGGTGATTTCCAAACTGTGACTGTGGCTCACCTCGCCGTCCGGAACCTGCAAAACTCACAAACTTCCGGTGAATCAACCCGTGGTCAGCCCAACTTGGGGCCGCGCGAAGAAGCGGTATCTGTCGTATCTCAAGGCCTCCGACATCGTCAAGGTTGTTGCTCTCTTCAATCGCAAGCGCAATTTTATGAACCCCGCCTTCACTGCTCCTTGCGTCGTGGCACCATTCAGGAGCCATTTGGCATGTGCCTTGCCCGCGACTCTATGCGGGCTGAAGCACAGTGACAAACCGGCCTGAGATCGCGCTGAGATGATGAAGCGGCTTGACTGCATCCCTGCATTCTGTACCCGAATGTAGAGGACCTGGGACTGACAGTGAGCGATTCTGTAGCAAGCCAGCCGAAGAAATGCCACAAGACTCCGGACATGTGTGGCATGTAGTGAAACTGTCGTTGGCTTGGCTTTCATGTGAGCTGATCTGAGGCTTCACGGAAACCTTTGGTGTAGGATTACGTTGATGTTGATGGCCAGGCAACTTCTTGGGTGGGACAACGCTGCTGTCCTTCAGACTGACCTACAACTAACAAAGGTTGACACCTTCAGGACAGCTACTGCCCATGAATCATTGAATCATTTCCAAATAAACAAACCCTCTCAGGCCTAATCCCTAAGCTTCGTGCATCTACCTCCTCTGGGATTGCAAATGCTCATGTTTCAGGAGGCGTGCTCATAAAAAAAACTGGTGACATTCAGCATGTCTATGGTATTTATCTACCTATATGTTATATATATATATATATATTGATTGTATGGGCGTATTGGAGGTCAGTTCAGATACCCTCCGCCTAATCCTCCTCCCTAGACCCCAAAGTTTCGGGACCGGGGCTCCCTTCCCCCCCTCGCTCCTTACTCCCTCTCTTTCCGCCCTTCCGCTGCCCCCTCCGTCCCTTGCCCCCTGTCCTTCCCACTTCTGCATCCGCACTGCTCTTTCACATTACAGAAGCAAGTCGATGAGTTCTGTCACAGTGCTGGTCTCCGGCCAGCCGAGGGCGGGTGGCGTAGGGTTGAATTATATATATATATATATCTATATATATATACACACACATACATACATACATACATACACACATACATACATACATACATACATACATACACACATATATACATACAATTGAAGGACCGGATAACCCCACATGTGAACCTTATCTATTCGGAGTCTTCCGGAAACTGCGCGCCCCGAAGTGCGCGCGGCATCCACCAGAACCCTCGAGAGAGGGCGTTTATAGTCGCACGTTTGCCGCAATCTGACTTGCATGATGGCTCGACCCTCATGACTCATCACACGTTGCTGTGGGCTGGCTTGTGTCAAGTGCAGCTAGAGCATGAACTTTAAGTAACTTTAAGTGCATCTGTCCGCGAGTGCAAAAAACACTTTCCACGTGTGTGTGTGTGTGTGTGTATGTGTGTGTTTTATGCGTGTGGGTAAGTGTCAAAGTGCCATGAGTGCGACGATGAGTGATGACAGTGCGTTGCGTGTGTTCAGAGGAGGAGGGCGGGAGGATGAGGAGGAAGAGAGCGGGACGAGGAGGAGGAGGAGGAGGAGGAGGCGGAGAAGGAGGAGGAGGAGGAGGCGGGACAGCCCCAAAAAGTAAGAACCCCACACAGTGATGTGGGGAATAATAGTTATATATATATATACACATACATTTAAATACGCATATACACGTACATATATATATATATATAACAGATAACATAGATATATATATATATATAATTATATATGTGTATATATATATATATATACACATATACATACAAGTACATACATGTACATACACACCTACACGGATTGAGACCGGTAAAAAAGGATCTGTATAGGCTCATCTAGATATACCTATATATATATATATGTACATATATATATATATTGCTGCCGGGCCGCTTTCAGGCATTTGCTGACGGACTGGAGCTTTTGTTGCACTTGGCCACTGCTGTTTAGAGAACTCGGTTCAAAAATGGACTTGGAGAGGGCCGAAACCCCGAAGAAGACTTGCCCAACCCCTTAAGGGAGGGCGGGTGGGGAAAAGCACTGCTGGGTTTGCTCGAGCAATTGCAGCCATGGACGGTTCACAGCTGCGCATGCCCTCATCGTGCGCTTGTGCCTGCTCTCTCAGAAGCAAACACAGTGCACTTGGAACGCTTCCGCAGCAATATGTGCATCATTGCTGCCGTGCCGCTTTCAGGCATTTGCTGACGGACTGGAGCTTTTGTTGCACTTGGCCACTGCTGTTTAGAGAACTCGGTTCAAAAATGGACTTGGGGAGGGCCGAAAGCCCGAAGAAGACTTGCCAAACTCCCCGCCCTGGACACAAGTTCCCACATGTGGCCGAGAAAAAGAATTCATTCAAAAGAAGCATGCATGCCGAGTTATCAGGGAAAAGGAAATGCTCAGAGTGCATTCTGGCGATTGGCACAGATCGCGTTGGCCCACTCCACACAAGACAGCACCGAGCATTGCCATCTGCTCGTCGAAGCCGGGCCCCCATTTCATTGGGGCTGGTCGCTAAAGTGCCCGGTCCTGTGAAGAAGAGCGTCAGTGGCCGAGTGTGCAGGTGCCAGCGGTGTCCTGTTCACTCAAGTGTTGTTTTCAAGCGCGGTGTCTGCGCTTTACGCTGCATGGCTCGCTGCTTGGCTGCTGTGGCAGGCTGAGGTCGTTTTCGTCGGACTCCACGAGACGGAAGATCGGCAGGGTTCGACTCTGACGGTATGTACACCAAACGCAGCAGCAAATCGGCAGCAAGCGCGTGAGCAGCGATGGACCGCAAGACTCTGCGCAGTGCTCTAGCACTGCTTCTGCCCTTGCTGACACTTCCAATGGCAGCCTTGGCATCAACCAGAATGACCACGCGATGGTGATGCCTTTGAGCGTTGCGAACGACCCACTTGACGGTCAGCAGCACACCGTGGCATTCAAGTAGGCTGGCGTGGCCGGGGCGCTTCGCCTTGCAAGAAATCAGTGTACTGAACTCGCTTTGCAGGTACGGAAGTCTGTGAGGCTGCCCAATTCGCTGCACATCGGGTTTGTCATCTGGTCCGGGAACCAACCGAATGTAGTCTCCTCTGCGTTCGGCTAGCCTCCCAATCTGCTCTACTCTACACGTTTGGCACCGCATTGAAGACCACACACCCCAAACCCATACTCTGGGCAAGCGTCGCAAGCCAAAAGCTGTGGTAAGAAAGGCCTGTCAAGCGAGTTTGCCAGCAAAGGAAGCAGACCAAGGGACGTGAGCAGCTCATCTTGCACCCCGGGCGGCAGCGTTCGCTTCTCGTTGGGAGCTTCCAATCTTGCGAAAGCATAGCTGCGGTCCAGAATGCTAAACATTCCCCTTTGCAGCTGAAAGAACCACTGGAGAAGCCCAAGAAAGCGACTCAGACCATTAGGGCTGCACCGAGGTTGCTGCACGAGGTCGCACAAGCCAAGCACCAGTCGACACAGCTTGGAGCTTTCTGGCTGCACCATTGGTGGCTGGCTGGACAGATCACAGCCCAAGCCTGTCATGCAAGTCTGAAGAGTGACATCCTTGGCTTGGTTGCGCGGGATGCCGTTTGCCTGGAAACTCTCGTCCAGCTTCTGCAGTGTGGAGTGCCCATGCGTGGTATCGCGGTGGAAGAGCAAGGTGTCGTCAGTGGCGATCATGCAGAGTTCGCGTTGGCACTTCGGCAGAGGATCGTCCAAACTGAGAATGCAGTCCTCTTGCACGCCGGCTTGAAGAGCACACCCCAGGGTACAAGCTTGAGCAATGCACGATGACCAGCTGAATCCCATAGGCCACACAGTGTTGACCGGATAGAGGAGAGTGCCCGGAAGAAGCTCTGATGCACTTGCATCGTCCAAAGCGGCCTGCAGCTCCTTCTCGCCCAGGCAGCCCGCAGACAACAGCTCGTGCACGAACACGGGCTAGTAAGTGCTTGCGTCACGCTTTGACATGTACAAGGTCTCACCAGGCTGCACAACTATGTCCAGAAAGGAGGCCGGATTAGCAAGCCGAGCTGGTTTTGGTGTCCTTTGTCGCTACTTCCGAAAGCAAGCCACCATGCCAAATCTTTCGCTGTCGGCCAGTTGTCTTGGAAGCGGCAAAGACGCGAGCGGCTGCTTTCGCACGTCTTCGCAGGCGGAGCTTGCCACACTGTAGTTCGCGAGCCACCAGGCGCACATAGCCCTGCCTGCTCCGCATGTCCTGCATGTCTGGCGGGAAGCCGGTCAAGTCAACGACACCTGCTGCTTCGGGGAAAAGGTTGCCGGGGTCCTGCACTTCTTGCCAAAGAGCGGGAGGTATGAGCTTGTTAGGCGCACACGTCCCCGCAGTCACGGGCAGATCCACAGCATCGCCACGGATTGGCTCATAGGTCGCAGCATGTTGGTTCTCGAAACTTGCAAAAGCCCCTTTCCAGTCACCAAGCTGGGGGCCAATCCGCGACAGGAACCCCTGAACACGCGAGCATACATGCTCTACAGCGGACTGCTGGGCAAGGCTGCAGGCCCGGCCCGCAGCTAGCGGAAGAGCATCATGCTTGAGGTGGTTGAGGGCACCGATGCAAAAGTTTGCAAAGAAAACATGCGTCTCCACTTCTGTCTCCGGCTTGGGTGCGGCCTGCGGCCAATCTGAAAGCAACGGCACTGGAAAGAGATCCCTGCACCTCCCAGGAGCGCGCTGGCCACTAGGAGCTAACCTGACAGCCCGCGCACATGGTAGCGCAGACGCCCGGAGTAAGCCATCAAGAGCTCCTCCAAGTGAGCTAACCGCAGATTGGGCCGGTCCCTTCGCCTGCGATTCTGAGCTGCACTTTCTCCTCCCCAGAACTGTTCGAAGTCGCAACGTAAGGATGTGCCGGATCATTCTGCGTTTGTTCCGGTATTGTCGGGTGGCCGAGCTGCGACAGCCATGCAAACTACTAACGACTGAACCAAAAGGAAGAACAGTCCCCTTATCCATTCCTGAGAGGCGGCAGAGAAACGATCGCCCAATTCGGTCCAGTTCTTAGTCTCAGCAGGCGCAGCTTACAAATCAGGATCATGTCCTGGCAGAACCACCCTTTCGCGAGGGAGACACATGGCGAACAGAAAAGCACTGCTGGGTTTGCTCGAGCAATTGCAGCCATGGACGGTTCACAGCTGCGCATGCCCTCATCCTGCGCTTGTGCCTGCTCTCTCAGAAGCAAACACAGTGCACTTGGAACGCTTCCGCAGCAATATGTGCATCATTTGCATCTATGTAAACACCTATCTATCTATGTATATATATATATATATATATATTGATTGCCATATATATATATATATACATATATGTATG